AGAGAGAAAGGGTGAGCAGAGCAAGGGAGTAAGATATAGTGAGAGAAGGGAGGAGAAAGAGAAAAGGAAAATAAGTGAAAAAGAATATGATCACACTCCTATATATGGCTCTTTTCGTCTAAGCAGACGGTCAATTTAGCTTAAGATGGTCTCAAGGTTGTCTTCATGCAGCTTCTTTCATGGCTAATTCTTCCTATGTTTGAAGCGCAGATCACACTCCGACCCATAAATAATAAGGGATGACCCCCCCCCCTCCCCCACCCAGGAAAAATGCCATAACTTCTTCTTGACCCCTTTGTTGCCTTATTGAAGTTATTGGGGCATATTTGGTCTGTCACGATAACGCTTAATTTGTAAGTTTGTGTTGTACCGCGGATGTCATGGAATTTTGCAGAATTTGCTGTTCCCGGTTGCCTATAGCCTATATATATGATGTAACATGTTCACCACGCTAATCGTCTGGCTCTTATTCTTCAGTATGGAAATTTAGCCACAACCATTGCGTGGGTTCGTATTTGGAAAAAGTGAAAATGCACATGGCATGGGTACCAAATTTGCTAGAATGACTTTACTGCCAAATTTTGACATGATCAATAATCATGGGTCTAGTCTTGTGGATGACTGAGCGCCCTCGCAAAATGTAAACATCAAAATGACTTTTGAAAGGCAGAAAATTTCACTTTTGGACTTAGATTTGCAAGTTTTTTACAATTACGGGTAAGATGGGGATATGAGGTAAGTCAAGGGACATTATCAAAGACCCGGGATTGGAACTATGTCATGAGTGGGCGAGGTCTAGACCGCGATTCCACTAACAATGGAACATGAGATTGCTGTCCTGGCTGACAAGTTTAGCTGAAAAGCAGTGCTGGCAGTAGGGAAAAACACCACCTGGCAATGAATGGATTAATATTCATCACAGAAAGGTATGAGGTCGGGCACCGATAACTGCTCTTGGTATCAATGTACGTGTAATCAGGAAAAAACAACCGGCATTTGACTGTGTAAAGGAAGCGAGCGTCTGCTCACGTAAAACTTCAGTCTACTTTGACTTAGATCATACCCAGCACTCACCATCACATGAGTAGATTCAAGGAGGTTCTATCATTTTAGCAGCTCTGATGACACACGGGCCTGTTAGTAATAGTGTTTGTTGCTGATTACCTAGTCGTTTATAGTCCTGGTATTAGTTGCATTCTAGCTAGTTGGGAGTCATTTGGTTTGGGTTAATCCTACATGATATTTGCAATGGCATAGAGAAAAACAAAACTTTTCCAAGTTTCCTTATAAGGCAAACTTCTTTTTTGTGAAGTCAAAACGGGGCACAGAAGGCAGATATTCTTTGAATATTGCATTCCAATAAACGGATATGGAGGAGAAGGGGATCCAAAGAGGAGAGGGGAAACACAGCCATCTGTGCGGACCAGTCCGACGGGTCTCCAACCAGATTATGATGGAAACCATAAGTAGACAGACTCTGGGATGGATCCTGAAGAGGGGGGGGGAGAGCAGAGATGGACATGTTCCGACTGCAGTGACCCCAACACAGTGGACAAGAGGACAAGAGAGAGGATATGGTAGACATCTTCATCACATCATTGAACAAATATATCAAATTTATCTACCTTCCTTTCACCAAAACCTCAGATGCAAAATTCACTGAATTGGTCTGTCACCGTGGTTTTATGCACACCGCATAATTTAGCAAAGTTTGATCATTTTTTGCACAATTTCTGATTATTTTCCTTCATCATTCTTCGATAAAATTAACAGAATCGCATAGTTTCACATTTTTGGGCCGAGTTTGCATAATTTCAGAATTTTTCTTGCATAAAACGAAGGGGACAGGATAGACGTCTTCGTCACATCATTTACCTAATATATCACATTTATCTACCTTCCTTCGACCAAAACCCCAGATGCGGCAAATATCGACTTTCTTCGGATGGGATAAATTTGTTAGAGATGCGAAATTCACTGAATTGGTGTTGGGCGCTACTCTGTGGCGACCGGGTGTGTTCACTTTGCTCTGTGCTTATTTTGTGTTTTTCTCAGTAATTC